CTCGGACAGACAAAATATTGTCTTGGTCTACAAATTGAGCATTCACATAAAGGTATATTTGTACACCAGTCTACATATACAAAAAGAGTGTTGAAACGATTCAACATGGACAAAGCAACTCCACTAAGTACTCCTATGGTCGTTAGATCACTAAATGTTGAAAATGATCCTTTTCGACCACATGAAGAAAATGAGGANATTCAACATGGACAAAGCAACTCCACTAAGTACTCCTATGGTCGTTAGATCACTAAATGTTGAAAATGATCCTTTTCGACCACATGAAGAAAATGAGGAGATACTTGGCCCTGAAGTACCATATCTAAGTGCAATAGGAGCACTCATGTATCTTGCAAATTGCACTCGGCCTGATATATCATTTGCAGTTAATCTTTTGGCAAGGTTCAGTGCATCTCCTACACAAAGTCATTGGAATGGGATCAAACATGTTTTTCGCTATCTTCAAGGAACAATTGACTTAGGATTATTTTATCCTAACAACTCAAACGGAGAAATGGTTGGTTTTGCAGATGCAAGATATTTGTCTGACCCACATAAAGCTAGATCACAGACTGGGTACGTATTCACAATTGGAGGAACTGCTATATCATGGCGATCCCAGAAACAAACACTTGTAGCCACTTCCTCAAACCATGCTGAAATAATCGCTCTCCACGAAGCAAATAGAGAATGTGTTTGGCTCAGATCAATAAGTCTACACATCCTTTCAAGTAGTGGGATCAACCTCAATTCAGAACCGACCATCTTATATGAAGACAATGCAGCATGTGTCGCTCAAACAAAAGAAGGATACATCAAAAGTGACCGAACCAAGCATATTCCACCGAAGTTTTTCTCATATACTCAAGAACTCGAGAAGAATAAAGAAATTAAAGTGAGATATGTTCGATCTTGTGATAATGCTGCAGATCTCTTTACAAAGTCACTGCCCACTACGACATTCAGAAAACATGTTTATAATATTGGAATGCGTCATCAACAAGACCTGTAATGATCATCTATTCGAGGGGAAGCTTCTAAGTTGTATTCTTTTTCTTTGCTATGGTTTTCCTATTAAGTTTTGCAAAGAAGGTTTTTAATGAGGCAACAAAATCATGTACAAGAAGAACTATTAATGACGATGGTCTCCAAGGGGAGTGTTACAAAAGTCAAGAAACACAAACGTATAACAATAAGAATGGAACCCATGTCATAATTTACCACAGTTTTATTTGTCTGATATCTCATTTATATAAAAAGATGTAATGTGATCATTTTACGATGCCCCTTCTGATCTATATTAATAATATTTTCCTCCTACATTTTGGTATGCATTCTTACTTTCTTGTTTTCATATACATATACATAATATAAGTTATATGCATATCACCAAATATATATGTATAAACTTAATATAAATTAAAATGATATAATCAAATATAATTATAACACATTAGTTACTTATTTTCTTAATTTTTAGTTTTTACGACAGAGCCAATGTTAAAAACGGGAAACAAACTCACAGTTACAATAACGCGTGTAAAAACTAAGTTAGGCTTTCCAAAACTAAAGCCCATATTCGGCCCACCTATATCTGTTGGAAAAATCACTTCATTCTCTGATAAATCGCTCCGATCGTTTCTACGAAAATCCGTGGAAGCAAATTCAATCGAAGACGAGGAAGAATCGAAATCAAAGAATCGGGAGGTGGAAGGGAATTAATTTTCAAGTCAGAGAGTTAGGGAGATGGGAGATCATCTGGTGAGAGCGGAGGAATTCGAGAAGAAAGCAGAGAAGAAGCTGAACGGATGGGGAATCTTCGGATCTAAGTACGAAGACGCTGCCGATCTCCTCGAGAAAGCTGCTAATTCCTATAAACTCGCCAAATCATGTAAAGTTTTCCTTTTTCTTTCTGGGTTCTTCCGAATTAGAAATGATTTGATCTTAGGTTACGTTGATCCGTTAGAGTTACTCACTGGGTCTAGACCTGTTTGATTTAATTTTAAAAAGGTTTAATCTTTCTTAATTTTTTGAATTATGTGATTGTTTCAGGGGATTTAGCTGGGAAGGCTTATCTTAAACTTGCTGATTGTCACTTAAAGGTATGCACTTACCAATATGATTCTGGATGAATGCATTTGAACAATTATGTATGTATATATTCTGTAGTCGGACAGCAAACATGATGCTGCTAATGCCTATGCCGAAGCTGCTAAATGCTACAAGAAAGTTGACACTAATGGTATGTTAGATATCACTGTATAATTTATTGCTTAGAGCTTCTGCTATGCATGTGTATCTTTGTTTTAATATATAGCCATGATCTTGTATGCAGAGGCTGCTTCTTGTCTAGAGCGAGCAGTGAGTATATTCTGCGAGATAGGAAGGCTCAACATGGCTGCCAGATACTACAAGGTACCATGCAGTCTCCTTTGAGCATGATTGAATATTACACTCTTTAATTCATTTCTCCGTTTTTCTTTTATTTATACTAATAGGTACATTATGGTTTACAGGAAATTGCTGAGTATTATGAAGCAGACCAGAAGCTAGACCAGGCTATTGATTACTATGAAAAGGCAGCTGAGTTCTTTCAAAATGAAGAAGTGACCACTTCTGCAAACCAGTGCAATCTAAAGGTGGCACAATTTGCTTCCCAGTTGGAGCAGTAAGATTTATATGAACCTTCCCTTTTTTTTGCTTTCTCGTCCGTTAGTATTAACATGCTTACAGTACTCAGCTGAATCCTTACATTGTTTGTATTCATGATGTTCACTATGCACGGGCAGCAATGAGAGCTTTTTTATTTACTTTTGTTTGGATTGATTGATAAGGGTTTGGTGTATCTTTGATAGATATGAGAAGGCAATCAAGATTTATGAAGATATAGCGCGCCATTCACTGGGGAATAACTTACTTAAGTATGGTGTTAAGGGCCATCTTCTAATGGCTGGCATGTGCCACCTATGCAAAGCTGATGTTGTTTCCATCACCAATGCCCTGGAGAAATATCAAGTTCGTAACATCAGCATTAATGTGTTGTCCTTTTGAGGAACTATGATATGTTTTCTAACTTCTACTTCTCTGCAGGATCTGGATCCAACTTTTACAGGAACACGAGAATGCAAATTCTTATCGGTAAGGCTTAAAAATTTGAGTTTTGTAGTGATTATGAGAGTGTACATTATGCTAACTTAAGTGTTTTTAATTCCCATGGATAGGACCTTGCTGCTGCTATCGATGAAGAAGACATCGCAAAGTTCACAGACGTTGTCAAGGAATTTGATAGCATGACTCCTCTGGTACGGCCCCTTAAATCGCGCACAAAAAACTTTGAAAAAGTATTGTCTTTTCAAACCTTTATGTCTGAATCTTTGTCATGGAATTTATATTTGTTGCCAGGATTCATGGAAGACAACTATGTTATTGAGGGTGAAGGAGAAGCTGAAGGCAAAGGAGCTTGAGGAGGATGATCTTACCTAAACATACTCTATCCATCCGGAAGCTTTGCTTATTACTTCATTGCTGGTGTGTATCTTCATTTGTGTTCATGTCACTTCATGTTCGACTCTTTATTTGTTTTATTGTGTTTATGAGTTTCGTAAGAGGTTTGGTCAAAATTGGTTTGTTTGATATCAAAAGACTACATTTGCTCTACTTCTCATTACTCCGATGGAGATTTGCTTGGATTACATATAATAAGAGTGTTTAGACATAATTTAGTAAGCAGATACTGTTTAGAACAAATTCTCAATGTCATCGACCATAACAAGCAAAGCAATGATAAAAGCATAGTCCACCTCTGGATTTACGCTAACCCTAAAGTTATATTTCCCTTTGCAGAAACTTCCCCATGTAAACTTATGAGTGACCTGCAAAAAATGCCCAAAATAACAAAAAAAAGATTTCAACTCGTCACCATTGTGTAACAAAAGATATGTATATATCAATAAAGGGATGTGTCTTCAAACTTTTTACCCCTACCCCGGCGATGAGAGCATCTGATTTGAAAACTTTGAATGAGATGTTTGAGTATCCACCTGAAGCATGAAAATCACAAGTACTGCTCTTCTTGACGTTATTATTCTCAGCCAAGAAAACATCCACAGATGTTTTCAACGACATGGCTGAAGATTGCTGTACCGTGAACAGCAAGTCTTCTCTCTCTTTGCTCTCTCCTCCATGCACTTCCCATTTTCTCTTCAAGCTAATTCCCTGTACACACACATACACACAACCTCAAGATAACTTTGTTGAGTCAATAGCAGCTGTTAAGATTTTGATGTTTTGTAAACCTTTTGGCGCATTGTGAGGACTATGAAGCCAGCAGGATCACGCATAACCCTTTTACGGTTAAACCCCCAAGCTTGTCCATCAATTTGCAGGAGGAGATTACCACTTGGATCAAGCACTTCGTAATGATCTTTGGAGAGGTTTTTAACTTTCCTCTTCACCATTAGCTCCATTGGGTATGGATTACAAAATTGATCGCTTACTACGCTTATGGGAGGATCTCCTACTTGCCATTCTGTTTTCTTATTCTTTGGCATTGGTTTTATCTTGAATAAACTCAAGAAGAAGGTTGCAAAAGATTATGAAAGGCTCTTGCTCCTTTAGAGCCCTTGATAATCCTCTCCTTGTAATATTATGAATTATCAAAAACTGTTTTCACATTTGTTTTAACAGTATATCATCTAGAAAACAATGTGCAACTTTGCAAAATTGGGGTTTTAATTTTCTCTGGTTATGAAATCAGAGTTTTATTCTCAACCCTAGATTGTTAAACCCAAAAATAAAACAATTATTTAAATTTAGAAGCAAACTAACTTAGCAAGTTGCTATTCCCAGGTTCAATGAGAGATTCTCCATGGCTAATAACTTATCTATACACAAAACATTTACAGAATTCTCTTACAGTAAACTTCAACGTATCACAAATAATCATTACCGAACAATATGTTACTTTGTTATCGAACTGGGTATAGAATAGAAGGTATCTGTCACATCTCGAACCCAAGAACTGGAGATGTGACTTGCAAAGGAAGCATCCTCGCCGTATCTGCTCCACGTTTGTTCTTTCTCCACTCCCATGGCCATGGCTTCTCTGGAGATGACCACAAGCCATTAAGCTTCTGCTTATCCTCATTTTCCCACTAATTTCAATCCTCTTATTGTAAAAATACTAATTTAACTCTAACCATAGTCATGTATCAGTAACCTTACTGGAAGGTATTTTCGCCGTCTCTCAACAGCTGTCCGGTTCCAATGGTTATGATGCTTTGTGTTTCTGACTAACGTGACTTTAAGAAAGAAAAGAACAACTATACTGATACCATCACTCTCTCCAAGAAGCACAAATACGAACATTAAACATAAAAACTGTGCAACTATGCTCATTTCAACAATCTAAAGCTTTTGAAAAAAACAACTATACATTAACAACTAGTAGGGTAACCTCACCAGTATCATTGATTATCAAGCTTGTCAATATTCTCTTCTTCATTAGCATTGCACTCCACCGTAGACTCTTCCAAAGCCTCCGGAATCTCCTTAGACTCTGGGGTACTTTTCTGTGATTGCAAACCCGTAGAGCGAGCAAGATCAATCCATTGCTGCAAAAGTTGTTATGAAAAAGTTAGGATCAAGATAATAAAGAGAAGCAAGAAGAAACCAAAATACAGACATGTAACTCTCTGACCTGTGTTCCAAAATATGAGTTAAGCGTCCTGACAACAAATGAAATTGTATTCACTAGTAGAGGTTGAGAAGAAAGCTCATCAGATATGCGATGCTCTATTAATCCAGCTATTATCTGTGCATTTTAAAGACACTTTTATGTTAAGGAGGCATAATCTCCATCACAGTCATGTAGCATGGATCATCATACCTGGTAACGAAGATTTGCAGATGTCCCCAAAAAACCTCCATAAACCATTGCCGTCTTCAAAAGAGGAGATCTCTTAGGTTTCTGAGCAACAACCAACTCTGGTTTAACAAACTTTCTAACACCATTCAATGCATTTGAAGCTCCCACAGCAGCGAAACTGGAAACAACTCCAACACCAGCAAGCTTCAAGCCACCAACAATAACTGCAGCGACTCTAAGATTCAAGTTCCACTCTCTTCCAGCAAGACTTTTCTGAAATGCGTTATCAGGTATTGATCCTAGAAGCCCTCTCAAGGCGTCTATGCTGTCTGGTCCGGTGGTCTCATCAGCATATGAAAGAAAAGACAGAGTTGGTGCAGGTAGCCAAACTGTGAAGAAATCAACAACTGATCCTCTCACTGTATCGGTTATAACGTAGTCTAGTTCTTCAAAGAAGTTCTCTTTTCGCTTTTCGTATTGTGCTAGAAGTGTGGTTGTTATTGATATTGCCTCTTCAATAGCTAACCTATTCAGAAACTTGGGGTCTGCTAATAACCTTTCTCTGAAACCCTGTATCACAAGTAAACCATTATAATTAAAATTCTACGACATTTTTGAGCTCAAAACATATACAATACATGCAGAAGTTTCACAAAAGATATACACCTGGAACCGCTGAGCAAGCTCAGAGATAAGAGGATACTGCTCCAAATCAAACAAGTTCTGTAGAACCTCTGGTGACACCAAACCAAGGTCCAGTCCATTTTGAATATCCTTTAAGCAAGAAAATAACATTCCATCATTACAAACATATGATATACAAGCTTGAGTCAAAGTTTAGGTTATTTGAGAACAGAAGTGATAAGCAACTAGATGAGAATTTACCTGTGGAAGAGCATCTCTCCTCCTGCCAGCTGCATTCATTACTCGAGCAATCTCTGCTCGGTCAAAGCAGTTTCTACTACAGGGTCTAGCTGCAGAATACCACAAGAAATCAGCAACAGGAGTTTCTCCCTCTCTTCGCAAGTACTGTCTTTCAGGGTCAAGTAACACAACAACTTGGTTTTTCTTTGGAAACTTCCTTGAGATCCTTGCTGGCAAACCTGTTCCTCTTGAACCATACTCAACATGACTTGCACCTGTCACCACTAACAGTAAACCAGTCCCACCTCCATCTGCTACTGCTTGTAAAATAACTTGTGACATTGTATGGTCTTCCACAACTCTTGCCTGTGCCGAGAGATAAGAGCTTGGTCCAAAGGGAATGATCTGCGTTGGGAGGCCCATATCGAATGTAGATCTACGTGAAAACGAAGAGAAGCCTGAGATGAAGCCAGAACCAGCAGGGGGAGTGTATAGTTTACGCTCAGACTTTGAAAGACCGCGGATACCTTCTGCTTGGACAGTTCTTAAAACCTACATCAAATTAAGTACAATGTTCTCAGCTCAGCTGTCATCAGAGTCCGTTTCTGATAAGGCTTATCATCTTTACAGCTTGAATATGTGCCTAAACTTAGTTGAAATGGTCAAAACCAGGCTTATGCCACTTATTCACTATCAGGATGTAACCAAAACCGCAAACTTTAGTCACACAGATATCTACTCTAATCGAAAAGAGCATTGCATTACATCTAAAAAAAAAGTAGAAAAGCATGTAACTAAAAAGAAACCAAGCAGCCTGATCAAAATGTTCAAGAGATAACCATGGACATGGCCGGATCAGAGATTTAGAGAGCCATAAACAACTTTAGATTAATCTTACAAAAAAAAAAAAATGTTTAGGGCTATGCGACCTATGTATACTAGCTCTTTAGGCAAAGGGAACATTCCACCAGACTGTGCCCAGAACCAAAACCAGAACCGGCAGTAATCAGCTAAACCCTAAACCAAAGAGTTAACTACGCCCCAAATAAAACTGTAAATTATGAGAAATTTTGTGAGAGACTACCTTGAGAGGAGTGCCACAAGCAATGAGTTTAACAGCGTTATCACGACAATAAGTTAAAAGAGGTTCATATTCTTGCCAACGTTGAGCAGGCCAATCTGTCACATAAGACTTCAACGTCTCTCCGTCAATCCTGCCATAAAAAAAAAGAGTACCAAACATGATTCCTTTCAGCACCTAAACCTACTAAGAACCATGAGCTGCAATCTCAACCTCTTATCCATGTACTGATTGAGCTGTTCCTGCAAATCAAGAGGGAACGCTTCTAATGCCAGAGAGATTTGACGCTCGCTCTCGAGACATCTCTTCCTCAAATTTCTAACGATTTGGAGTTCAAGTTCCTTATCGTCTTTGGTAGGAACTTGCTCGGCTTCCCCGAGGTAGACAACCCTTGCGTTCATTAGCTTCTCCCACACTTTCTTCTTGTCTTTCCCCATAGCCATCGGTTCACCGATGGATGTCGCGTCATAGATTCTGGAGGTTATAGTCTCTTCCTTGTTCACTGACGTAGGCGGCGGCGGCGGCGGAGGAGGAGGAGTTGCTGGTTCTGCAGGAGCGGAAGAGGTCTCTTCGGAGGCTAGAGAGAGAGAAGGTTTGAGAAACAAGGAAGCAGCGGCGGAGAGGAGTGGCGGCGCGAGGAGAATAGCGCGGCGAGAGCAGGCGGTTGAGGATGGAGGGTCGGAATCAGAAAGAGCAACGATGGATAGAGAACTTCTCTTTCTAGTGAGGTTGATAGGAAGATGAAGGCCATGGCGGCGGGGACGGGAAGAGGAGGAGAGGCAGGGGCAGTGAAAGGATGGTTGAGAAGCGAAGAGATCATTCGTGGTGGTGAGTTTCATTCTCAGACAAACGCAACTCCGTTTGTACACGTCACCCTTATTACATCTTAGCTCGAACGATAGAAAGAAATAAAACAGTTATTTGATCAAAAACAAAAAAAAGAAATAAAACAGTCTTTGATTTATTATTTAAAACGCGATAAGATGGCCACGTCATTTCAAATATTCGATGTCTATTTATCTTTTTATGGTGCAGAAACCAAAAATCAAATCTAAAAATCAAAAACTAAGACTAAAAATTAATGCAAACAAATGATCACCTAAAGCTTACAACGTCTCATGTTAAGTAATTTTTTTGTTTGTTGTCAATTCCATATCCTCCTATACATTAAAAGAGAAGTCACTTTGACACGTGGCATTCATACATGCCTTCTCAGATTAATTCTTTTAATCTGATTGGTTGATTTAATTTAATTTTCTTTCTTATTTATTTTTTTTCGACGTGCAAGTGACTGTATTAATAAATGAGAATCGTATCTTTAAAATTTTGTTAGGTTATTTACTTTCCTTATTACATTATATTCGATAACTTGCGTAAGAAGTTGGGAATTAAATGCCAAATATGTCAATCTCATACCATTAGGAAAGATTAACAATATATATACAATGTCCTCATTGACCTATGAACAGAGTTCACCTTTTTCGTCATCTGCCTGCGAAACGTAGACAAAAGTTTTACTTTTCTTTTTATTAACGGTGCAGATCTTGTCTCAAACATCATGTTCTCATCTTATTCTCCATGTTTTAATATAATAGGGTTACCGCGTTCGTCAAGGCCGTACTTTCTCCTCCTCCTCCTCAGCTCCTAATCCTGTCGGCGATAAAGGTTACCTCTTTCTTTCTCTCTCCCCCAATAAATAAATTGGGTGTTTCATTTGGAGGGAAGAACTAAGTTTTTTTGCTTTATGATTGTAGGAGGAAGCTCTAGTGGCACTGCTTTCGTACCTCCAAGTTCTATTGTCCATGTTGTCGTAACTCGATCTTTGATTTTGATGGCGGGATACTCCTTTGGTAAGAGGGGAGAGAGAGAGAGATTTAAACTCTTTACTTACGCCTCGAATTTTTGATTAATTATACTGGTCTTTTTTTTCTTTTTTTTTTGTATCGAAGGTTCTTACTTGTCGGGAGATAAAATCGCCGAATATAAAGAGTCGTTGAGAAGAGTAAACAAACAAAAACATCTGAGAAATGCATAGCATAGCATATAGTGTTTTAAATCTTCTCACGCATGCATCATCTTTTGTGTTTTCAGGATAACAAAAAGGCTTGGGATGCCTTGGCGACAATTCGAGAGGAGTTGCACCCGGACATGTCCAAATCCTAATTATCTCATGATCAACTGTGGAGGTGCACCAAAAACAAAACCGGGCTTCTATTTTGGGTTCCATAGTTTTTGTCTCCCTTTATTTGTCACTTTATGTCTGGTTCATGTAATAAGAGAGTTTTGCTTATGCTCATAGTTTCCAAATGGATTTGTTTTCTCTCTAGTGATGTTTTGGGTCTATATATATATAGAGTTCCGTCTCCCTCATTGTAATTTTATGTCTGGTTCATGTAAGAGAGTCTTGTTTATGCGCATCAGGATTTGTTTTCTCATTTACTAATGATAATATCAGAGTTTCCAATGCATTAAAGTAAGCTGCTCCTCCCTTCTCTACTGTTCCAACTTCTTCGTTTCAATAGAAATCTAACAACAGCCTTCATGTGATTCGTCTTAAGCTTATATATGGAGGGTGAAGCAGGAGAG